CACGATAGCCAAAAGGTGGAAACAACCTAAATGCCCATCAACAGATGAATGGATAAACAAAGTGTGATACATACATACAATGGAATACTACTCAGCCAGTAGGAGAAATGAAGCTTTGATACATGCTACAATATAGATGGAGCTTGAAGACATTATACTGAGTGAAATAAGTCAATCATAAAAAGTCAAATATTGTATGACCTCACTTATATAAAAAGACAAGAACAGGCAAAAGTATAGAGACCAAAGTTTATTAGTGGTTACCAGATGTGGGAAGGAGGGGAAAAAGGGACGTTAGTGCTTGTGAAGTACTGAGTTTCAGGGTACGATGATGAAAAAATCACACTGATTAAGAGTAGGGCTGCACAGCTGATCACTGTAATTGCTGTCAATAAGTTGTATAGCTGTAAAAAGTTGAATTGGTAAAAGCTGTGTGATAGATACATTCACAACGACAAGAAAAAAAAAAAAAGAGTAGCTGCTGAGACTGCTTATGAACAACCAAACACCACATGGTTCCTTGATTTAGAGGTTTAAGGTCATGGTTTCATGGAACATCCCAGTTAACTGGTCTAATAACATGTTTAGTGCTTCTGTTCTACCTCCTAGTTCATATGGTAGTTTTAGTTTCTGGAGGAACTGCCACACTCTTTTCCAGTGTCTAGAATCTTAAAAGCTTGCAAGGGGCCATCCAAGGCACAACAATTAGTCTCTATTCACCTGGAGCAACAGAGGAAGAAGGAGAGTCAGGAATAGGAGAAAGAAATGAAATGTGTGGCTAACTGCCTCCATGAACAACTGCCTCCTCTGCCATCAGACCAGGAGAACTGGATGGTGCCTGACCACCATTACTAGACATTTTGATCAGAGAGTCTATAAAAGAATCCTAATCAAAAGGGTAAAAATGCTGAACAGAATTTCAAATTCTTATAGAATCCAGATTTTCTGGAGCCATGGAGGCTGGATGAACCCCTGAAACTATTGCTCTCAGATAATCTTTAAACTTTAAACCAAAAATATCCCCTGAAGTCTTCTTAAAACCAAACAATAGTTTAGCTTAATTAGTAAAGAATGTCTGTCTTGAGCATTATGCTCTTTTAAGAGCTATCTATGTGGGATTAAACTGACAAGAGCAACTTGAAAGATTAGATAGGAACCTTAAGGGGCAGTGAGTTTATGTCAATGGAGGAGGAACAACTCGGAAAAAGAGGGTGAGAGTGATTGTACAACTCAAAGAACATAATCAATGTGACAGAATTGTACATGTAGAAACTGTTGAATTGGTGTATGTTTTGCTATATATAGTCCTCACAACAACAACAAAAATAAAATATAAAAAAAAAAGAAGCTGTAGCAGCAGTAGCATCTATAACCCAAGAGCTTATAATACCACTATTCAAATAATAACTCTTCAAGGACTAGCATTTTCTAAATCAATATATACAAACTGAACTTGTTTCAGAGATTATCATATGGATCATATTATAAATATGACATCCTCTGACACATGTTTCTTTCTATATTCCAGAGAAGACATCTAGTATTTAATGCTTACGCAGTTTAGAATGACCATCTCTTCTGGTTAAGAAACACAATTTCTTTTTAAATATCACTATCATTCATGATATCATTCATGAGGAAACACTGGTGGCGTAGTGGTTAAGAGTTACAGCTGCTAACTAAAAGGCTGGCAGTTCAAATCCACCAGACTCTCCTTGGAAACCCCATGGGGCAGTTCTATTCTGTCCTGCAGGGTCGCTATGAGTCAGAATTGACTCAACAGCAATGGGTCTGGTTTTATCATTCGTGAGGTTATACTGTCTTTCCATTCCTCACTCTCTCTGCCACCCCAACTGCTAATACCTGACTTACCTATAGGCCTGCCCCAGACTTTTATACGCATCAATAAAGTCAACTTTCTGCTTCAAAGCCTCTTTGAAGGATTCAATAGCTTCCTGTAAAAAGAGTATAGAAAATGATTTAATTAGCATAACCGTTAGAACTGAGTTCTACTTACATCACTAAAGGACTTAAATATATATTATACATGGTCTCTGACATATTTTTTAATAGGAAGACTGAGAAAAAAAGAGGTAGAAAGTACAATGAAATATGAGTCAGGACTGAATTTCAGCAGTAAATCAATGCATTGCTATGTAAAATAACAAAGCCTTACGTTTCTCCCTTTCAAAAATGGGAAAACAGCTTCTCACTATGTATTTCATCAGAAGTTTGAGTACTAATGATGTACCCTTCATAGTAATAGCATTTCCTTAGTTAGTAAAGGTCCTGTGGAGCGAAAATAAGGCTCAGAGCTGTGCGAAATAATTAATTCAAAATGCTCGTAACCAGCAGCATTTAAAACTGAACCAACAAAAGAGCAAACCCAAAATGAAACTGTTTTTAAAACAAGCAAAGAAGCTCCTAGACTGGTTATCTGAAGGATTCACATGATTTATAGAGGAAAAAAAGAATAAAACAAAAATCTTAAGGTTGGGGCGGTTTGGGGCGCAGCTTCTGTCTGCATAACATCAGGTCTGAGGCTAATGAATGAGAACTGCTGCAAGCACTATTCTTTAGGAAGTCATCTTAGGAAATACATGGTGTACTTGGCTACTACGTAACTATCTATCTGTCAGTGAAAACTATTAATAAAATGTGCAGTTGTGCTGAATAACGAACATTCTAGACTTCAACCATTAGTGGATGTACTTTTCATTAAGACTTCATTATTTACTCTAAAACAAAATTATGAAGACACTTCCCATAGTCCCCAAGGAAAAGATATATCTTACTAAAGTTACTGCTACAACGTATTATGATCTCTAAGAGCTTTAAAACTTCTAGGGAGAGAATTTCACACCTGATCATAGGAGTAAACTACTACAGAGGTTATTTGCCTTGCACATGGTAGGCACTCAATAAATATTTAATGACTTAGTGGGAACACAAATAGTTTTGCAAAAATAGTATAATCCTTTTTTAATAAAAAACTCCATCATTCTCTGCATCTTGATTTTCTTTGGAGGCAACAGCAGGGCAGGAGAGGCCAGTATTTAAACTCTTCAAAGCAAAAATAGGGAAAACCACCTACTTATTAAGTAAACCTACATAATATCTACTATTTGGAAAAGAACGTTTTAAGAAATTTTAAAAACCAGTATTGCCATTGCCCTAGTAGCCTTGATTTTTTAGATTTATACAACTATATTCTTAATTCAAGAAACATTCATTGAGCACCCACTATGTGCCAGGGACAGTGGGGGTACAGGGGATATAAGGGTGAGCAAGGCATTATCTCTAGCCTCTAGGAACTCACAGTGGTCTAGTTAAAAAGCCAGTTATGTAATCAGGTTATTGAAAGACAAATTTAGACCTATAACAGAGATTCGAGCAAAAGTCTCTGGGAATAAAGAGAAAGAAACAACTAACTTAGTATAGGGGTATCAGAAAAAGATTCAATAGAGGAAGTAACAACTGAGTTGGGTCTTGGAGAATGAGAAGGAATTTACTAGTTAAAGAAAGAGGGCATTTCAGACAGGGGAAACAGGACTGTACCATGGCACAGAGCACTCAGGGAATGGTGGAAAATTTGGTGTGGCAGGTGCACAGGTGCACAGGTGGGAGCGAGGAGAGGGCAATGACAGGAGACTGGGTAAAGGTGGTAAGCTGGCGTCAGATAGTGAAGGGCCGTCTATGCCATGCTATACAGTCTGGGTCTTACCCTGCAAGTAATAACGACTAGGAGTCTTTAAGCAGGTAAGCAACTTCATGAGATTTACTTTTCAAAGATGATTAATTACTATCAGCAGCAACGGAACACAGAGACTGGAGGGGAAAGAGAATGGAGACAGATCCCAGTTAGGAGGTTGCTGTGGTAGTCCAGAAAAGAGATAATGAAAGCTCAAATTGAGATAGTGTCTCTGAGAAGAGAAAAGAAGGGTCAGATTCAGGCAGGGCTTGGAACTAGTTTGTTATGGTTCGAACCCCTGCTGAGAATTTGCACTTCCACCCCAGATATACTAAATCAGAAGCTACATTTCAACAAGACCCTTGGTGATTCTTATGTATAATAAATTTCAGAATCACTGCTCTACCAGTGGTTCTCAGAATTGGTCCCTAACCAGCAGCATTAGCATCACCTGGGAACTTGTTAGAAAAGCATATTCTCAGCAGGGGTTAGAACCTGAACAAAGTGGTTCAAAGCCCTGAATTCAGGGGATATTTTTAAAGGCAAAATAAGATGTAATTTGGTTTAGGTCTGAGGGATGGGGAAGAAGAGAGTAGAAAGCTTTTAAGCTGAAGAGACTAGGTAGATGGCAAGAGTATTAACCTAGAGAGGGAGATACAGGAGAAAGAAGAGCTGCAGGCTGGAAGGTAGGTGGGAGACGATGAGTTCTATCAGGCGTGTTAAGTCTGGAGTGTCTGTGGACATCTCTGTGGAGATGCCCAGTAGGCATCTGCTGCCCACTCCACTTACAGCATGCGTGGACGCCACAGTTCTTCAAAGTCTGATTTCTCTTCAGCTTTTTAGAGTCTTTGGTTTCAGGGTTCCTGTCTAATCACTGCACAGTTCTCTACCTCATTCTGCCAAAGAGGGGACATAGCAGAATCAAGATCTGAAAGCCATTGGGAACAAAGAAACTATGTTTGAATGAATCAATCTCTAAGTACAGGAGCTGCCTCTGCATTCATTTGCATAGCAAATGCCATCATCACCTCATTTAGTCACCATCTTTCTTACTAGTCGATGGGTAACCATCACTCTGGGGCTTTCTGATATAATGAAGAGAACAATCTCAGATGACTCTCAGAGTGAAGGCAATTCTAAATAGCTGATAAAAATAGGTGCTTAGAATGTACAATTTTTGAAATAGCCTTACAAGATCAATAAAACAGATGGAATTCAACAGATAAACTTCTACTTGCTTTGTTTTTCCTAAGAAAATTCAGAATTTCAGATATATCTACTGATTTGGATAGTTACAAAATTTGTAATGTCATATTGTCTAGTATACTTCTAATTTATTGTATCATAAAGTAAATCATCAATCACCCATTTAATCTGGAGAGATCACCTTTAGAATATAAAGATAGCTCCAACTCATTGGTTTGTTTAATACTTTACCTCTACAGTTAGCAAGAGAATTAGAGATATCTAAACTAATTTCATCAGTTTAATTAAGTCATGTCACCACTGACTCAAGTTTTCCAATCTGTGTAACTGGGACACCCTCTGCTCCTTTTCTACTTCGTGGGGATGCCGTTGGATGAATGAGACAATATGTAAACACTCTCACCTCCTCGGACAGATCTACAGAAATGGCAAAGAAAAAGTTCCCGTCTATTATACATGCGGATGCCATGTTTATGAGCATGGTGAAAAGGATAAAGGACCAAATCATGTGGTAAGACTAGTTGACGGGGGCTTTTAATGCTCACAAAACAAGGCACTGTTGCTAGGTTCTCATCATGTGTATCTGGAATAAAGCAGGCTGAATTTTAGTCCTTGTCCAACTTGTAGTTTGTGTCTCTGTTACAGCTCTTTGCTGAAAAACTCTAATATCCAAATCATTCAAAGACCCCTGCCCATGCTCCTAAACCTAACTTTATAGTAACAAAGGGTAAAGTCATTTGTTTGCATTTGCTTACTTTTAAAACTCTCCGCCGCTAACCGAAAGGTCAGCGGTTGGAACCCACCAGCCTCTCAGCGGGAGAAAAGACGTGATGATCTGCTCCCGGAAAGATTACAACCTAGGAAACCCTATGGGGCATTCTACTCTGTCATACAAGGTCACTGAGAGTCAGAATCAACTCGATGGCACGCAGCAACAACACAACAGTAATAGGTTGGCATTTTTTGTATTTCAAATCTTTTTCTCCTCCATGAGATAGTCAAGCGATAGACACTGAATATAGCACTACAATTTTGAATTTTTTAATTTTAGGTGACTGTGAGAGAAGATGAGAGGAACAGAGGGCAGATACAAAATAAACTAGAAAAGTTCATCTGGCAGCCGCTCAAAGCATGTTTTAAGTAACCTGCTCTCAGCGCCCACAGCTGCCAGTCTGAACCCTGACATGAGAGAGACAGTGTCTATTAGGACTAACCCCACTTACTTGCTAAAAAGGATGTGAGATGTATGAAATAGAGTTTGCAAAAGTTTTTTCGGTTTGGCTTTTAGTGGGATGGGATTTTTTTCCTTTGGTTCTAGAAAATTTAAATTTTCACATTTAAAATAACTGATAATAATTAACACCTGATTCATATTTATAATCTTACAAAGTACTTTTTACATATATTATTTAATCCTCACAATAACTTCAAGAGTCAGAGTAGAATCTTCTCTACTTCACAGATGTGGAAGGAGAAGCTAAAAGAATTTAAATAACTTGTTCAGCACTGCAGTTGATAAGGATTCAGAACTAGAGCTCAAACAAAGACCTTCCAGTTCCAAATTCAATGCTCTGTCCTTGAAATCCATTTATTCTGCTAATATCTACTGAGCACCTACTATTGTGAAAGGCACTGTCCTTAAGATTGAGGATTTACAACATGCAGCTTCTTTTATAAAGGTAAACCCTTTCCCCACTCCCTAAATATCTATCTCAGATGCTCAAAATCTTTACAGCCATTTTCAAGAATCAAATGCAGCCACAAAGACTCCCTGCCATGTACTACTGAAATTCTTCACAGCCTTCAAAGTTTGGGTTAGTACAACTTCCCTGTGAAGGCTTTCGTGATTCACCGTGCTCCCACTGATGCAGGCTGAATGCATTTAGCTCCATGTCACTCTGTCTTCCATTAGTCAGTGTGGATGTATCCTGTATTAGAGTGCTTACTATGTGCTGGCCATTGTGAGGCTCTGAGGAAACAGAGGTAAAAAACACAGAGCCCCTGCTCCCCTTGCTGCTGGCACAATCCTACTGCACAGTAGGTTCTCAACACGTTTATTTCGAGAAGGTTGAATAAAGTACCAGGGCAGAAGAAAGGGACGGAGTGGAGACTACAGATCTACCCCAACCTTTCAGTCAATTTAGAGAACTCCTTTCCTGCTCTCCTCTACCAACTCTTCCCATTAGTCAGTCAGCCCTCAAGTTAGAGTAATCTGACCAAGTGCAGAAGTGTCTCCCAACCTGTTCCTCTCTTTCATTCTTGCTGCCTCTCAAAGCATGGGATCAGGTCTTATCATCTCTGACACAGAATACTACAAGTGGCTCCTAATCAGTCTCTGTCGGTTCCCAATCTCTTCAGCCACCATATTGTCAGAATCAACTTCCTAAACTGCAGATTTGGTCTAAATTATACATTTTCCCAAAATCTCGATTTGACAGTTACCCTGGGCCTACAAATTAAAGTCAAAATTCTTAGCACAGCACTCCAGACTTTTAAAAACCTGCCTTTAACCACCCTCCCAGTCTCATCTCCCTTGAACTTTACGTGCCCCTCCCTGACCTGGCCGTCCTTCCACCCTTCCTGTCACTGCACGTGCCCTCTTCTATGGCAAGAGTGCCTTTCTCCAACTACAGTCTCATCTGCTCAGCCTTCAGGGTCTAGAGCAAGCTCCATTTATTCTCTTAAACTTCTCAAATCTGTAGTTTAAATGAATCGTTTCTGTCTATGTTTCCAAAGCATTGTGTTTATATTACTTTCTTTAGTGTATTTAGTACATAATAAATTGCATATGGAAAAAAGCTTTGTAAACTGTATACTTTTTAAGTGGGAAGTATTATTTTTCCATCTTATTACCCTTTTATCCTCTCCTTTTCTGCACCTCCCTTAAGCACCTAGCAAATAGTAGGAGCTCAATAAACATGCTGATTCAAACTACCTTCTAAAATAAACCAATTAGACACTTGACACATCATTTTAAAATATGCCAAACCAAATTTCACTAAAAGCAGAATCATATTTTACACATATTACACAACACTTTCACCTTCAAAAGTCCTCTGTGAAAGAAAGTTAAACCTTTGTATAGCATAGCTATAGGCTGATTTTTGTTCAGTTCTAAGGACTGCTGAAAGTCTTCATGGGCTGTTGCATAGTCCTACAAAAAGGAGAGTGGGAAAAAAAAAAAGCAGTAGTCATTAGATATTTGGACATTGTCTACTTTTGATTGGTAGAGAAAAACAATCCTAATTCATTCTGTGCCCTTTTGGGCTTTAAAGGAAACATCTCATTACCATAAATATCGGTTGAGTGCTTACACTGCTTGTTGAAATAGTTGGTTTTCTTAGGAAATTGATGGGGGAAAAAACCAATAAAAGATTAATTTAAGCATTTTATCTCAGCTACAATAAAGAACATTATTTCAAACACTATTAAAGTAAAAGCCTGTTAGAGAAAGTTTCCAAATTATTTTGTGGCACTAGAAGTTTAGTACAGTAAAATTTTTCAAATTATGCTATTAGATTGAAGTGTGTTATAGTGAGATTTTTGTTCTATTTTCTTTTGCAATAGAATTTTTGTCATTAAAATTACTGTAAACCACCAGAATAAATATGGCAATCATAAATACCACTGAGACAATAAAAGATAACCTTGCTAGGTTCACACAGAGAAGCTACAGTCTGGGAGCCATGTTAGTTTACATTATGGTTCTTGGGTCATGACACCCAAAGAGCTTCACATTGTACCTCTAAGTTTAATAATCACATCGATAACTTGTACACCTGCTTCCCTAGGATGATATCTACAAGAAAGGTTGAAGTATGATCCATAAACCAAATTTCTCTTCTTCTTGCTTTTTTTAACCCTAGTCCAGAATTAGTTACTGCCAACAGCTCAAGCAAGAAAATATGTTCTTTGTACTTAATATCCCTGCACTTTAATTTCAGGTAAAGAAAATGCTTTTATAACTCTCTTGTATTCACAAGCATATTACTAAACAGCTCCAAACCAAACATCTATCAAATAGCAGCTTCCTAAGGCAGAAGGAAAAGTAAAATCTTTACCATCATGAAACGAAATGGCTCAAGACCAGAACAACTCACCTCTGATATGAAGTATAGGGTCCCCCGGTGCCTGTACAGCCGTGCTGAAGGCTGGAGCTGGATAGCTTTAGTGAGGTCACTCACTGCTTCGTTGATTCGACCCAGAGGGGACAGAATCTATGAATCCAAAACGTGAAATTAGGCAAGAAAAAGTCCGATAACCAATCCTAACAGTGCCAATGTTTGTAACTTTTCAATTCCACTTCACCACACTCCACTCACAAAATTACTCTCAGCACACTTGAATTCTGGAACCCACGCACTGAGGTTCAAAGTAAACAAATTAAGGTGCCACTAACCTTAGTCTCGTCAAGGAGATTCATGAACTATGACTATAGTGATTGCCCTGTCATTATTTCATGTTCTGATTATAACAGATGTTGCTTTTCTTGAAATGTGAACTTTTTTCCATTGACCTACAATTTGTCTTTCCAAAGTCTATAAAACCAAAAATTGGGAATTTGTATATGTATATACATATATGTATATACATATTTGTATATGTATATGTATATACATATATGTATATACATATTTGTATATCTACATGTATATATGTATATACATGTATGTATGTATATATGTATATATACAAATGTATATATATAAACATCAAGGTGTTAAAATTAATCTGAAAGATAACTTTGAACCATCGAAGCATACAAATTGTTGGACACAAAGTCCTTCTTGGTCTTTAGCTATATCCTTTATGGTGAGAAGTGCTGAATGACAATTTCTAAGTTTCCAGGCATTTTGTAAGCTTTTTGTGTTAACAACTCTTCACTAATCAATCACAATCAGTAAAACAGGAGAAAAACTATCTGCAAGACTGTCTGGAAAATCAATTTTCATCTAGCAATCAGCTGTGTTCAGTCAGTATGATAATACAGAGGACAATTCAGAATGAAAAAGTAAACCAAAAAGACGTGAGAAAATCCAAAATGGGTATCAATATTCATGCAATCAAATCCAAGTACTTTATCCTGAACAAAAGTCCTTAAATTAGGGTTTATTTCGTTCTTATAGATCATTTCTATCAAGTTTTATTAACCAGTCTCCTACTTTATAGGAGTTTAAAATCAGCAAAAGAGAGAGGATCCAGGAAGGCACATCACCAGTGACAAGAATGGTAGCTCAGAAAGAGGAGAGAAACGTAATGACTGTAAAAAAGTACGCCTGAGAATTCAAAGAGCACAGTGGTCTGGAGTCATATTTTAGGAGGAAAAACATACTTACCTAGTTTATTAACTCCTAGATACATAAATTATCACAACCCAGAACAATAATTGAGATGCATAATAATAACAAGAGTAATAACAAAGGTTAAATTATGGCTATTAAATACAGACTCTTCCAGAAAGCATGAAGATGAAAGATTTCTCATGAAATAATTCCTGGTATATGTAAATGGAATGCTATAATTTAACTGGAAATGTTACTGTGTAGTGATATTACTTTTTAGTAATACCAGAAAAGGTAAAATTACTACATGTTTTTAACATACTTGAGATTTATTTTTCTAGTTACCAATATCATTTTTGGATATACACCATTCGCTTATTAATAAGCAAATTTCAAAATCCTTCTAAATAAGTCTTATTTCTAGGTATGCTTAATTAAATTCATGCTTTATCATAACATTTCAAAATAACATTTGAGTAAGGAGGGAAAAAGCATCAGTACTCCCTGCTTAGAGCAGATGGTTGTCAAATTAACCACCAAATTCTCACACGAAAACCAAAAAGAGTCTCTCACACAGTAATTAACAAATTACTATCACTTAACCTTTAGTAGTTACAATCCAAAATAGAAAAGAGATGAGTTATATCATTCAGAATGAATTTTATTCAAAAAATTGAATCCCCAACAAGACATAAAATTCACCTTATGAAACTGAACTATAAGACGCTATAATTTTGAGGGGAAAAAAACTGACAAAAACAGCCTTAAAATGACTAAACATGTAAAATGACTAAACATGTACTGCTTCCTTTACTTGCTGTTTTTCTCCCCAGAAAAGAGAGAAGAAAGTCATTTTTTTCTTTAATCCAACCATGAATCATGCCATATCAGATGATTAAAAGTTAAGTTTTACTGAGATAATGCATTAGCGTAAATCTTAAAACATTTAACATGATTATATGGGTAGTAAAATAAACACTACATGGGACATGGGGAGTTTACCATTACTTTATGAAAATGGGAAAACTAACACATTTCCATTTGCACATACTCTTTTCTCTGTTCTGAACATCTTTTTCCGCCTCTTATCCCCAAGACATGGGCTTTCATCCAGCTTAAATGTCACCATCACAGTGACTTCCTCAAACACTCCCATCACTCCCCCTCACCAGTGCTTGTTAGGCAGTGCCTCCTCTGTTCCTTAACAAGCACCTCTTCTGAGTTTCTACTCTAGCAAGTATGACATTACACTTTCACCACATTTCACTTCTCTGTCTACCTCAAGTCCTAAGTTCCTTAAGGTTTCGGTATAATCAGCCTTACCTGATCTGTGTATTTAGGTACATTGGTATATCTCATAAACATATATAAATGCACAAACACACATATCAGTGGAATGCTGCTTCAAAAGGCTATACATTTGATTTTTACCAGATTGTCATACTAAGTTTTGCTAAAGTATATAGATGGTAAATATCACATGTGATATATTTTTTAATGAACAATGACAAATAGCACAAGTCTATGTCATAACCACATATTTTAGTACTAAATAATATTATTTTATGTTAGATCAGGAGTATCACTCAGTCCACAGTTTTCTAGCAATTTCAACTATGCTTATGGGCATTAAGTACCTATGTAGAAAAAACACAACAGTATAGACGAAGTTAAAATTTACAAGTAATAAAACAATAGGAAAAAAGATATCTGAGATTTGACTAATCCAATAATGACAGGGAAAAAGAAAACCACACTCACTTCTGCTCGCTGCTCAAATACCTCTGGACGATCTGGTTCCAAGGTAATTACTCGGCTCAATTCAAACAGAGCAAGTTCAGCATTCTTAATGTCCTTAAAAAGGCATTAGCTTAGTATGAGACATACTGTTACTCAAAACAAGGCTGAAAAGATTTTCTGAAAAGACTAGTAATTTAGTAATGATATAACCAACATTCTAGAAGTAAATATGAATTTAGCTTCTGCACAAGAGATGTTCTGCCAAGATAAATACATTATGATATTACAATTACTTAACTCACTCAAGTCTACCTACCCATCAATAGCACCTTGGGCCTGTCTGCCTTCAAGAAGTTCCACAGATGGCATTAAAAAGTGTGTTTTCTCAATTTAACCTATTCAAACACGGTATCAACCGCTTTCAAGGATGAGTATGTGGATACCAGCACGCAAAAGGATGCTGACTGGTGACAACGAGGGGTGAAAAAGGGACTAAGTTAGTCTCAATCAAAAACCACAAGCCTATCTATAATATACCTACACTTGAAGAAGTCTAGGTAAGTTCTGTTTAAAATTTGCCACCGTAACTTTTATATTAAATATGTCTTAATGGCCTGACAGAGACTGGAGAAACCCCAAGAGTATGGCCCCTGGACACCCTTTTAGCTCAATAATGAAGTCACTCCTGAGGTTCACCCTTCATCCAAAGATTAGACAGCCCCATAAAACAAAACGAGACTAATGGGGCACAACAGCCCAGGGACAAGGACTAGAAGGCAGGAGGGGACAGGACAGCTGGTGATAGGGAACCCAAGGTCGAGAAAGGACAGTGTTGACATGTCGTGGGGTTGTTAACCAATGTCATAAAACAGTATGTGTACTGTTTAACGAGAAACTATTTGTTCTGTAAACCTTTATCTGAAGTACAAAAAAAAAAAAAACTTTAAAAGTCTTAAAATGTAAATGTAACTTCGTTTACAGATAGAAATTTCATGCCAAGATATAAAATTAAAAGAGATAGGGATTAGGAAGAAGCAGCTTAGCTCCGTAATAGAGCAACTCCATATTGGTCAGTTACTGACCCTCTCAAGGCAACACTGTTTCCTACCTAAACCACCTCCCTCATTCCCAATTCTGCATCTATGTTTCGGATGATAAAGTATACAAATATCATATAAAATTTCTCCAACAGGTCAGCTTAGTATATTTTTATTGGCAAAAAAACTTGATATTTCTTCCTCAAAGCATAATATCATTTGAATATTTTCAGCATACAACAAGACAAAACAGAAAAATTTGCGTCCAACGTTACAGACTTAAAATTTGGAGATCTGAATCTTAGACCATTTCATTACTTACATATAATCTCAGTTAAGTCTTAATTTTTACACCATGGTGCCTTTGTATAAAACATGTTTATTATAATCTTTATCCTGCCTTCCTCAGAGAAACAAGGGGAAAACCGATTATGAATACAAAGATATTATGCCTGTCTGAGAAAAGTATGTGTAATAACAAATAAAAAAAATAAATTTTACACATTAAAAAAAAAGTCTGTTCCTTTATCCAATTTTTAAAAATTGTGAAAGGAATTCAAAATACAAGTCCAACTGCAAGTGTTGATGACTGATCTCTAGTTTGAACAAAGAATACCTCTTAGGAATGCAGTCAAAGTCTCAGGCTTTTCTTGGTCTCTGTCCAGTTCATCAAGAAATCAAGTTTAGGCAAGCAAACGCTGCCCTTTTGGAGTGTAAGTGTGGTAAAACTGACCTCAGAAGGCCTGGGTAGAAATCCCAAGTCTACCACTTAGAAGTCATTTGATCTTCAGTAAATCATTCTATTGCCATTTTCTCATCTATACAACTGAAAAAACACCACTACTTATGCTATAAGAGCTCACTGAACAGTAAGTGGCTCCATCTGACCCCTTGGCCCTGTCAGGTAGTGTAGGCACTATGGCAATTGTAACTATAACATACTCACATGTAGTCCCTTCTTTCCATAGGCTATCCCTCGGCCATAAATTGCACTAACCAGATCAGGCTCCTCCTAGTCAGACCAAAACAGAAGCACGTCAAAAACTATAAACAAAACAAAACAAAAATCAGTTTCTGCTTAACGCATATTAATGCCACAAATGAGAAGCTCTACTTCTTTATACTACTACTACTCACAAGTCAATACAAGCAGCCCCCAACCTGGAAAGTCTGTATTCTAAAAGCTTGTGTGAATGAGATATGTACTAAGAGTTTTGCATTAGAATAACATAATAAAGGGAAAGGAACCAACATTCCTGAGCACCTACTAAACATCAGGCACTATGGCTAGTTTCTTCCAAACAGTATCTTGTTTAATTTAATCCTCTCAACAACTCTATGACCTGGCAGCATTAGCAATCACATCTCACATAGGAGAAAATGGGGGTCTAGACAGGTAAACAGATACAAGTACTGGGTAATGCCTCTCACTAGTTTCCTTTCAAATATGCACAGAATAATCAGAAAAGAAAAGAACTCCTCTGAGTCATCATAATGAGGAACAAGAAGTGCTTCCACTCCACAATCTGGTGGCGATTAATACTTTGTACTAATGGGTTAGAATTAAAAAACAGACCCTCTCTGCAACCCATTATATTCCAATCCAGATGGACGAGATGAAACACAGATCCCAGGACAAAGTATCTGCCGGTTTCAGTCCACCACATCCCTACACCACTACACAGGTTAGCAGTACAAACTACCCTAAGTGCTGAGTGCAATGCCTCTACATTTAGCCACTGCAATTTTTACCTCTTCTCTGAATCCTTTGCTCTACATTTCAGGAAAAAGAGTAAGCAGCCTGTGGCCATGAGGTCCTGGTTGAAACTCTTAACACTGCTAAAGAATTTGAACAGAACTGCACCAAATGAGGCATTTTAGAGACGACTCTGTTGTTCAGTTTCAAATCTGAGGTAGGTTATCTGCCAGCATTGTAGAACGTATCAATTTCAATGATAAGTAAATGGGAAAAGACAAAGGAGAAGATGCCACTTTAAATAGAATGGGCTACATCTATATCAAGTGGCAAACTGGTGGGTCACTGGACACAACCTAGCCAGCAGATTGTATGGCCTACACAGTATATTAAAAATTGGAAAAATTCAAGTAAAGAAGTCCAGATTTCCAGCTTCTCTTATAAAATTAAAAGCTCCAACAGTGATAAGCCCACATTTTGGCACTCTTACATGGCAAAATAATAATAAATAACTAGAGCTAAGTAATGGCTGCCTCTTTAGACAGTGCATGCCCTGATCAGTTTACCCGCCCCCTCCAGCTCCCTCCCATCTCCAGTACGTTACAGCAATTTACTTTGCTCATTTAAGTTACCTCCCTGCTCTCCCCCACATCTTTGGATTTGTAACTTATAACTTATATATAATTGGCATGAAAGGATTCCCTATTTCCCAAGTGGAAAGAAAGCACAAGTCACAGGACTGCAGAGGTGTGGTAGTTACATGTCAGATATAATACTTACATGTGATTATGGGTCAGGATATGCACAGGGAAAAGCTCTCCAAGTATTAACCATAATTACCTCTGGAGGATAGGATTACTAGATATGTTCCCATCCTACTTGATACACTGTTGTATTCTTTATAATTTTTTAAAATATGCATACATTTATAATTAGAAAAATATGTTTTAAATAATACGTTTCATTATAGAAATTGAAGGAAAGAAGGTAAAGGGCACCGTTTAATCCTGCACCAATGATAACTACGTTAGACATTCAAATATTCTTGCTGGCTTAAAGAAGGGCAGGAGGAAAATAAAAGGAAAAAAAAAGAAAGAAAGAAGAGAGAGAAAGAAAGAAAGGCACGGCAGGTGGCTTGGAGGGAGGGGGATACAGGTACACTGAGGGGGGGCACCAAGAAAAAAAAGTTACCTACTGAGTAATCAAAGTAAGATTGCCTTGGGTTTTTCTATAGCAATGACATGTGCCAGACGACAGAACAAAGTCAACAGGACAGAGCCTCCGGTCAGGCTGAGGCAGAAGGCGGAGAGCCAACATAGCCCATCCTTTGTGATGACACTCTTGAGAGAGATCGAAAGTTACTCTCAAATTTGTTAAGCCTTAAAATATACCACCCAAGCAAGAGGTGAACTGGAAAATGGTGTACTAAACTAAATAGCTATTCTATTTACGTGACTAGCATCCCCATGAACCCTGATGCCAGCACCAGCCACTTTGGGAGTCATTCTCATGTTTCTGACTAATATACTTAGTCATGGAATCCTGGCCATTTTACCTCGTAAGTATATCTCACATCTGTTTCTTCTGCTTCAACTGTCATTTGCTGTTTTAAGCCTTCATTTCTTATCTCAGCTACTGCAATTACCTATATTTTTCCAATCTACTCTCTAGACCGCATCAAAAACAATCTAACATTAAAGTAGTGTCACTTCCCTAACTGAAATTATTCAATGTGACCCCAATACCTACAACAGTAATATTCAAACTTTATTTTACTCCAATATATAAGAAGACATACGTTTTACATTGCAATCCAGTACACCATACGCAGATGCATAACACACACGCATACACACACACACACAGAGGAAACAAAAGTTTCTCTAAGTCATACCCACCCTTACTATACACAATGTAATCTGATACTTACTAGCCTACTATATTTCATTTTTTTTCTGAATTTTATTTAGTTTGTTGTTGTTGAGAATATACACAGCAAAACATACACCGACTCAACAGTTTTTATATGCACAATTCAGTGACACTGATTACATTCTTGGAGTTGTGCAACTATTCTTACCCTCCTTTTCTGAGTTGCTCCTCCCTCATTAACATAAACTCACTGACCCTTAAGGTTCCTATATAATCTTTCGAGTTGCTATTGTCCATTTGATCACATATATAGAGTTCTTAAAAGAGCACAATGCTCAAGGCAGGCCTTTTTTTACTAATTAAGTTAAACTATTGTTTAGTTTTGAGATGACTTCAGGTGTTATTTTTGGTTTAAGGTTTAAAGATTATCTCAAGGCAATAGCATCAGGGGTTCATCCACGCTCCATGGCTCCAGAAAGAAGTCTAAAGTCCATGAGAATTTGAACTTCTGGTCTCATTATTCTATGCAGCGTTTGATCAAAATGTTCAGTAATGGTAGCTGGGCACCATCAGTTCTTCTGGTCTCATGGCAAAGGAAGCAGTTGTTCGGGGAGGCAATTAGTCACACATTCCGTATCTTCCTCCTATTCCTGACTCTCCTTCTTCCTCTGTTGCTCCAGGTGAATACAGACCAGTTGTTGAATCCTGGATGGCTCCTTGCAAGCTTTTAAGACCTCAGGCACTACACAATGAACTACGAGGTAGAACAGAAGCACTAAACACGTATTAGGCCAAATAACTGGGATGTTCCATAAAACCATGATCCTAAACCTCCAAACCAAGGAACCAGATCCCATGAGGTGTCTGGTCATACATAAGCAGCCTCAGCAGATACTCTTTTTTATTTTTATTTTGTCACTGTTGTAAATATATCATACAACTTTTGCCAGTTCAACTTTTTACAGGTGTACAACTTACTGACAGCAATCACAATAATCGGCTATACAACCCTACCCTTAATCAATGTATATTTCATTTTTTAAAAAGTACTAGTCTTGACCCACTGTCTTAGTTATCTAGTGCTGCTATAACAGAAATACCACAAGTGGATGGCTTTAACAGAGAAATTTATTCTCTCACAGTGTAGGAAGCTAAAAGTCCAAACTCAGGGTGCCAGCTCTCTGTCGGCTCTGGGGAAAGGTCCTTGTCATCAATCTTCCCCTGGTCTAGGAGCTTCTCAGTGCAAGGATCCTAGGTCCAAAGGGTGTGCTCCCCTCTTGGTTCTTCATTCTTGGTGGCATGAGGTCCCCCTTCTCTCTGCTCACGATTCTCGATTTTATACCTCAGAAGAGATTGACTCAAGATAAAAACTAATCCTGTAGCTTGAGTCCTGCCTCATTAACATAACTGCCTCTAATCCTGCCTCATTAACATCATAGAGGTTAGGATTTACAACACATAGGAAAATCACATCAGATCACAAAATGAAGGACAACCACACAATACTAGGAATCATGGCCTAGCCAAGTTGACACATATTTTTAGGGGACACAGTTCAATCCATAACACCCACCAATTAATTTCAGGTCCTACTAAAGAGTTGTTGTGTACTAACGAGTCAATTCCAACTCATAGCGACCCTCTATGACAGAGCAGAACTGCCCCCTAGAGTTTCCTAGGCTGTAATCTTTATGGAAGCAGATCACCAGGTCTTTTCTCCTGAAGAGTGGCTGGTGGGTTTTAACTGCTGACCTTTTATTAGCAACCAAGTGCTTAATCATTGCGCCACCAGGGCTCCTACTAAAGGGTTGCTATTGTTGTTAGGTGCCATCAAGTCAGTTCCGACTCCACAGTTTGAAAAAACAACTAGGTAGTATCCATATGCCTTTGCAGAAGATACTGGTCAGTTTCCTGCCTTACTGTTCAGCTTCATCTCCTCCCACTCCCTCCCTCATTTTACACTTTAAAAAGTAGAGCTACTTAACTCACCCAGGGGCTCCTCTGAAGACAGGCCTGGCTATCTGCTTCTAAAATGTCACAGCTTTGAAAACTCTGTGGAGCAGTTGTACTCTGCACACATGGGGTCACTACCAGTCGGAATTCATTCGACAGCAACTAACAACAGTTCTCTAGATACAACATGCTCTCCCAAGCTCAGTGTATTTGCAAATGTTCTTCCTTCTGCCTGAAACACCCTCCCATCACCTCTGTGCCCAAGAAGTTCCTTCTATTCTTAAATCTCAGCTCAAAGCCTACCTCTTCTCTGACTCCTTCCTGGAAAATAAAGTTGTTCCTTCTCCTCTTGCTCCCACTGTACATTGTACAGGCTTTAGTCATTTGTTCAACCAATATTTACTCAGGGATTTTATGTATGGCCCCCTGGCCAGAGTGTGGCAGTGGCTTTCAAGCAGTCCCTTCCCTCCCTGCTCTGTACCACCCCTTTG